GTTAGATAAGCTAAATCGTTTTGCGATAAACAACATCGAGATGAGGAGGGAGTGCCACAAATTTCCATGGCAGGATTGTCACATTGATTCTGAAACAATAAAAATTCGAGGGATTTTTCTTTTTCTAAATTAAGGACATTTGAAAACAACCTGTGGAGGACTTTTTGCAACGACTTTTTCATCATCATGTGTGCCCTCCATGACATCATCTTCTTTGCTAAACATTGTTGTGGGTTGTGTATTAATGGCAGACTCTGATTCCACATAGATGTCTGATTTGTGTTTATTCCGATTATTACGGGCATCCGATTGTTTGGATGATTGTTTCATGGCCGAGTCATCGCTAACGGAACGTACAATGGGATGAATTGTTTTCTGAAGACCCTTTGATTTTTTATTTTCCTTTTCCACATCGCTGTTGCTCACCCAGCGATGGCATGCGGGCGGTTTACGTACATCTAACATCGAATTAGATTCCGAACGCATTTTAAGACTTTTCCCCGGAAAATAGATGGCTCCACTTAGGGAGCGTGAACCACTCGAAGAGGAGTTCTCATCGATTTTACGCATCAATGAGGCACATTTATCGCCAAAGATATTACGCGAAGAACTTGTCAAGTTACGCATTTTATGGGTGAACTTTTTCAAAGGTCTATCACCGCGACCCTCTTCTTGTCTAATAAGATTCAACATTAAATTCGAACTATGTTCAGTATCCGAGTCCGAACAGTCGTCGCCCGTGCCATTCATTGTCATCTTTTCGAAATTTAATTTGTTCAAAGATTGTGTGGAGTAGGAGGTTGGTTGGGATCGATTGGCGGTACTAAAGTTACCGCCTCTAAGAAATTCTAAATACTTGAGAGTGCGTCTACAAAAATTGTGAACAAAAAAAAAAGAAAAAAAAAGCAAAACATTTTTTCCACAGCGACGACGACAACAACAGAAACAAACAATGGAGACGGCGTTTGGTATGGGAGTTAGGCACGATTTGTATTAAAACAAAATGTGTAAACATTAGTGGGTTATTTTTACGATTTAAACGATTGATTGGTTGGTTGAAAAAGACAAATCGAAAGAAAACTGGTTAGAATTTGTCTCATTATTGACGACAGTAATTGTTGCGAAAAGCTTAAGACTAAACAAGAAGGGGGAATACGAAATGTTGCAATTTACTCTTATTTTGTAATTAATATGGGTCCTCCAAGCCAGAGACGAGGCAATGCCAATGTGGAAATTCAAATCGAACTACAGAAAACAATTGTTGGAATCTTCGGGGAAAAAAACTAATGGGATTCTGAAACTTTTTTCCAATTTAGGGCAAACTTCTTAATTTGCCGAAATTATAAACAAATAAAAATTGGTGTTACTGTCTTTAAATAGGTACAGAATCGCATTACTGGTAATCGAAACTAGCTGTCGACATCTGGTGGCTCTATTTGCCCCCATGCAAAATGGGAATACGATAGGCATTTACATAGGCAAGCTTTAGCCACGTTTAAATTCTTTCCAAAAAAGAGTTCATAAAAAAACCTTCATTGTTTCTTTCGTGGCTACTTCAGATTTTCAGATCTCGTCTCTCAACCCATCGCAAATGGAAGAACCCATATTTCGAAACTTAATGTGAAATCATATGCCAATTCTCAGTTCTTCTGCTTTTATCTTCCACAAAAAATACTCACTCTTCGATTAAAGCACTGTCCGCAGAGGTTGGTTGATTTGTGGTATCTTTTATTAAAGTAACAGCTGTGCCAACACCGCGGGCAACGACACCAACATCGCCCTCTAAATCAAAACACTGGGTATAACCAATGACAGCATTGGCGCCCATGTTTATGGCCTTAAGACCCATCTTACGTTGGACCTGGAAGCGCACACAATTAAAAAAATAACCCATAAAATTAATTTTTCCTTCAACTCACTTGACCAGACAGTTTAAGGAAGACCACCTGGCGGGCCCTCATTGGATGCACGTGGCGTGCGAATCTTGTCAATCCATTGATATTCAGGATCATCATTTACAACCAGCTCCTCTACAAAGCCATGTATAACTTGGGCCCGATATCCGGTGGGTATGCAAGGAGCTAGTTCACAGAAAGCATATGAATATAGATCCATTTAATCAGTTCCCCTCCCATACTTACAATGGAAAAACGGTATGCCACACGAACTTTGACGGAATTTATTAGCATCGGAGAATAAATCAACTTTTACAATGACATGCACCTCGCCCCGTATGCCATGCATTGTATCGAATACTGGTATCCAACCAGATAGCACTGTGCCCTTGCCATGACTTGACCCGATGTTTCCAAGCACAAAGGGTTTAGGCTTATATTCACCTTACCAATTGCATCATTGGCGGAATAGGTATCATAATCCATGAGACGTATCTGTAGTATTTCATCTTGTAGTTCAGCATCGTCCACCTCAAAACGGAACCTAAAAGCAGGAGGGATAGACAGGGTGCCACACATTTATATTTGATAATAAAATTATTTCTTTCTGCCAAATCTATGCTGACCACCATAGATAGAGGCTAACGTTATATGGTTTATCTTCTAGTTCAGATTATCTTTTGTCAAGATAAGAAGTCTTGACCATTACGCTCGCTCGCTCTGCTACTCACCAATCAGAATTGAAAATAGGATTTAAACTCTTTCTGCACACATCCGTTTTGTGCGTCACATTTCCCAATTTTATTTCTACATAGGCGTCGGTGGTATCCGAGGATTTGTCCATCACTGGCAGATTCCTGCCAGCTTTGATTTTTACAGCAACTTTTCCTGGCATTTCATGGACAAACAACACGATACACTCGACTATAGGACACTAAATCAGATTTAATACCTCAAAATTACGGTATTTGGTATTTGTTTATCTTTTGCTATGTGATTTCATTCACAATTATAAATTTGGTTAATCTGCAAGGGGGACTTTATGGTCGGGCCATACCACACATCTTCCATGACCGATAAGACCAGCTGATTTCTCTGTTGTCAAAATGCATGCCATTGTGAATTAATGTTTTCGCCAGTGCTGTGAGCTGTTCACTAGATGAGCAAAAGAACTAGATACCGTTTGATTCACTTGAGAGTTGGGACTTGAACGCTAGCGAAAGCATGTACATATCTTATAAATAGAGTGGATTTTACATGGTAGAGGAATATAGATAGACGCATCGACATAGGTGCTGGGACCATGAACTGTCAAACCAAATTTGGAATTGAAAATGTTGAATGAACAATTATTTAAATTTTGTAAAAATGTTGAAAATCGCGAATTATAATAACCTCCGAATGACGACGTATATAAGTCTAAAGCAAAACTAAAATAGAAAATTGTTATTGTAAGTAATGCTATTGTCAAAGTTATATGAACAAAAAATTGCGTACATTTTTAATAAGTTATTTTATTTAAAAATATCTAAATTTATGGAAGTTATATTTGTCCTGTTCCAGTACCTGCAAGAATCTTCTAGATTTGCAATTTTCTTCGATATCATTCATGGTAGGTAAACTCATTTGCTAAATTGAACATGGCATGGCAAAATCTATTTTCATATCTAAAATATTTTCGCATAACTTGTGACAGATTTTACAAAAATAATAAATGTATAAATATTTTAAACCCTTTATTTTTAGGAAACGTTTTCGGTGATTCTAGTTCTTGTGTAGACCTCAAATTAGGTTTTACTTTAGGTCCGAATTTAAGAATCAAATCTGCTGAACTACCAGCTGACAAATGTTACCAAAATCTTGACAATAACTGATATATTCATTCTGTACTGAAACGAAAGCTCACATTAACAATTTCTTGTAACGCATTTAATGCCAATTCGACTAAAAATGGCGACAATTTTTTACCTGTATAAAACAAATTGTGATATTGTCTTCATACTCTTCCCTTGGCTTGGTTACATTCAATCATTGCAAAATTAAGGCTTACATGACTTATCGGACTAATAGTTTACTGTTCTGTTTTAGATTATATTCTAACTTGACTTTTATACCCTCTAAAAGGTGCGAAAACAACAAAATATTTGGTCTAAAGTTATTGAAAATTTTTTGCCAGCATATGCCCAATTTTAAGGAAGAACTACAAAATATAAATTTGACAGTGAAGGGACAAAAAAGAAAAAAAATGTAATCGTATGATAGCATGAGATTACCTTAGTAATTGTACCATGGATATCATTAAGGGAAAATCAGTTATCTCAGTGAAAACTTTTACATTCTTGCAGTTGTGGAACAGACCAATTATTGAATTCAAAATGCAGAACAAATAAACCTAAAATGTTTAATTTTAAAGCTTTTATATCCTTCCCCTCAATGCTTTGTTGTTTACTGCAGGTACAAATCTGGTCCCACCTAAAGCAATCGCTAGGAAGTTGTTAATATATATTCGTAATGTATACTATATTTTGCAAACTATAGCATTTAAATACAAAATTGTTTCCAGATTAACCCATATCCACCCTTAGGAGGATATAAATGCCACCCAGCTGACCAAAAGAAAATGCAATAAATAGCCAAAATTGTTGCATCAAAAAAGCAAGTATAAAGGCAATTGGTGTTGAAAAATATGTGTTCATTTACATTGGTGACCTTCTGCAAGGAAATATTAATGTCAAATTATAAGGAAAAGGGACGGCAGGATTGGCATTCATGTATGAAATGTCTATGTATAGACTTTAAGCTTCTTACGCAATCACACCTTTACTGTGCGGCTTGTTCATGGGACGAAAATGTAAACATAGCTTTAAATTTTGAACTTGTCATAGCGACCATTTAAATCATCTGCACTGAAAATTTTGGCTTACGCAACCACACCTTTCTGTGCGAATTGTTCATAGGACATATATGTAAACATAGCTTCAAATTTTGAAATTGTCATAACGGCAATTTTAATCATTTCCTTTGATGTTATCCTGTGTCATCTGACAATCACTGAAAATGATAGCTCGGCTCGCAAAGCGACGCCATTTTGCCGACAACTTTGAGGTTGGCAACACCCGACAGATGCAAAAAAAAAGTGTATACATAAGAAGCGGAAAAATCTTTATTTTGTAGGAAAAAATTGAAAGTATTTTATTAAATCGTGGTTCAAAGAGAAAAAGTAATGCTTATCAGGTCAGAAATTCATCTCAGTAAAAACATTCAATAAAAGTCGCGTAAATATCAGTCAATAAATCTATAAAAGCTGCCGCAACGTCGTCGGCTGGTTGGGCATTCATAGAAGAAGCTTAGAAAAAATTGTGTGTAGATCTTAAAAGCAAAGAAAAATTATTATGGAGGCTCCTACAACAGTCGATACGGCACCTATAACTGGTGGTGTGGCTCCCACACGTGGACGCGGCGGTATGCGTGGTTCATTTGAACGGGGTCGTGGCAGGGGTATGGGTAGGGGTCAATTTTCCGGCATGGGAGGACCCGGGGGTTTCTCAACCCGAGGTGGTTATGGAGCACGTGGAGGCGGTATGGGTGGCGCACCGATGGGCTATCCACCACGTGGAGGTTTCGCTCCAAGAGGAGCGCCACCAATGCGCGGAGCACCTGGTATGGGTGGTCCAGGCGGATATTCTGGCAGGGGTGGTTTTCAGGGGGCACCCCGAGGTGGACCACCAATGCGAGGAACCGGTAGAATGCCAATGTACAACCAACGTAAGTATACACTTTTAAGACACATGAAAACTACTGATGTGATTAGAAACATTTTTGGACGCTGCAGAGCCGAAACAACACACCGGTGTGGATAACAATAAAACTATCTCACCGGTGCAAGCATCTGCTAACAATCAAGTTGTTGCCATAAAGGAAGATAATACAGCTGCTGCAACAGAGGTTGCTGCAACTGCGGCAGCACAAGAAGCGGATCCCAATGCCGTGGTGACTGCTTCGACAGCGCCGTTGGTTAGTAGTAAGCCACCATTAATGGGTACATCACCAAATTATCGCGGTCGTGGTCGAGGTGGCCCAAGAGGTGGTGGTCGTGGAGCATATAATCCACATAATGGTAGCGCCGGTGGTATGATGTCCATGCATGGTGGTGCTCCTATGCAAGAGCATGGCGGTATGGTGCGACGTGGTGGTCCACCAAGAGGACGTGGTGCGTACCAGGGTGCTGGTATGACACGTCCCCCACTGCACCAACAACCGCATGCATCTAACTCACAGGCAGCACCAATGTCACTGAAACGCGGCGCTCCTGGTGGCCCACCAGGACCCAAGCGTGGTCGTTATGAATCCGGACCATATTCCCAGAGAGCTCCTGCGCCAAAATATCATCAACCTCCACATATGACACAACAACCAGCAGCAAATTATGGTGTGGCACATCAACCTGCTCCACCACCACCACAAAGGTAAGAGAGAAATTGCAAGTTGTTCAACAAAATGGGAGAAATGTTAATATTTTTTTTTTGTAATTGCAGCCACCATGGTTACCCACCGCATGTTGCCACACAAACAATGGATCCTTATGCCCAGTCGTATGCTGCACCACAAGCACAGACAACATATAATGGTTATGCACAGACATCAACTTATCCTCCGGCACCAACGCATGCAGCCACACACCAGGCCAACAGTGGCTATACAAGTGCTGAATATGATCAAAGTCAATATCAAGGATACAGGTAAGGGAAAAATTATATGGTTTTTCTTTTTAACAATTGTGAAAGGTGCATTCATTTGATTTTAATCGAAAGCATAAACACTTTGCAAAATATGCACATTTATATAACTTTCTTCCACGAAGCGATTTCATTACACTTTGTATTGTATGGCTTTATTGTAAAATTGTAGTTGTTCTATAATTTGTATATGAAGATCTATCTAATATATAATTTGTTGTTTTTTTTTTTTCAAGTTCAACATACGGCCAACAAGATACCCGCTATCAAACATATGGTCAAGATTATACTCAACAGTATGGAGCGCCTGCTGTTGATTATAACACATCTCAGGCAGATTACTCTCAACACGCGCAGCAAACATATGATGAACGCGCTTATGCTGGCTATGGTAAGTACCATTCAATTTTTTCTTTCTTTGCTTGAATATAAAAAAATAGAAATTACTTTCCACAAGATTTTTCATGCTAATAAGCAATAAGGGAATTAGTAGTTCAAAATCAATCTAACATTTGTTAAGTTAGGTTCGGAAGGTTCTATCTTGATTTATCAAAAAGAAAGTTATCCATAGATGGCTTCCTAAGTAAGGCTTTAGGTATCTTATGGTTTATGTCCTAACTTGTTGGCTTCTATTTTTTTTTTTTTTTTGATGACCATAAGTGAATTTTCGTTAATCTCGGGAAAGGAGTTTTAGGAAACCCTCAGAGAACTGTCCAATCATTCTAATATTCGGGTTGTAGAATTTATTTTCCGAGACAGCAGTGGTTGCCTTCATCGGTCCAACCCTATCGATCTTAAAAAAGGCGTACTTAAAAACCGCTGTTAGAATGTCACTTATTTAAAGCATTTGATGCTGTCAATTATTTCTGGCCGTTAGATAATGAATTATATGTGTGCCAGTGGAATTCTAGATCAAGAAATTCGAGCCGAGTAGCCAAAGTGTAGTCATATATCTAGAGCTGTTTAATACCCAACATTCTACAATGTTAAGCCATCCAATCTGAATAGATATCGCTGCTTTTGAGGATTATTATTCGAAATCATTTGTCAAATATTTTCAATTCGGACACAAATCCCCCTCATTTTAAGAAGTAAGAGTAGATGCTATAATTTGGCATGCATGTTTCGATGCCATAATGACCTTTTTTTCGGAGAGAACATTAAAAAATCAGAGAATTAATATATTATAGTAATTTTTTATTTTTGGTATATATCCCATTTGAAAGATTTGCAATTGAGGTTAAAGTCAGGTATACCATTTTTATTATACCCTCCACCACAGTATGGAAGGTATGTTAAGTTTGTTATTCCGTTTGTAACACCTCGAAATATACATTTTAGACCCCATATGTTCTTGATCAGCATAAAATTCTATGTCGAATTAGCTATGTCCGTTCGTTTGTCGAAATCACTCTCCGAACGAAATGAAGTAGGTGGATAAAATTTTATTCAAATGTATATTATGTCTGCAGGACTTACGGTATTGAAAATGGGCCATGTAGGCCCACGTTTTGGTATAACACCCCCCATATAACGGCACCTCCCGATATTCGGTATTTTAATGATTTTAGCGACATTATTCACCGGAATTGTTTCAAATTTGGTACTTAAAGCTCGTAATGGATACTACAGCCTATGACAGAAAATTGTCCGTGCAGGTCCACGCTTTCGTATAGCCCCCATATAACGGCACCTCCCGATATTCTGTTTTTTGATTATTTTAGGGGCATTATTCATCGGAATTGCTTCAAATTTTGTATTTGAAGTTCGTAATGGATACTACAGCCAATGACAGAAAATTGTCTGTGCTGGTCCACGTCTTCGTATAGCCCCCATATAACAGTACCTCCCGATATTCGGTATTTTGATGATTTTGGCGACATTAATTACCGAAATGGTTTTAAATTTGGTATTTGAAGTTCGTAATGTATACTACAGCCTAAGACTGAAAATTGTCTGTACAGGTATAGCCCCCTCATATAATGGTACAATGTACAGGTATAGCCCCCTCATATAATGGTACCTCCCTATAATCGATATTTTTGCTATATTATTCACCGATTTTTTTTTTTCAAGTTTCGCATTTAGCTATTGTAATGGCTTATGACAAAAGTTGCTTATGCAGGTCCACGTCGTCTTATATAGACCCTAAAATAACGGATACATTCGGTATTTTTAAGATTTTAACAACGGATTTTATTTTATTTTTTGAAAATTGCCAAATTAGTTTCAAATGGTGGAGGGTATTCAAAGTTCGGCCCTGCCGAATTTACTGCTTTTTTATTTTTTTGTTGTGGAAAGTAAAATACTTTATACCTGTCTTTATTTACCATTTACCAATATCAAAACATTTTTAGTTTTAAGAAAAGCAAAAATAAAATTTAAGCAAACTAACACAATTATTATTTTTATTGTAAATATAAAAAAACTTTCCTCCTGTGTTTCGGTCATAACAAAAAAAAAACCAAAAATTGTATCTCTCTTCCAACAAAACACAGACACGCAGTCATATCAGCAGAGTTATTCAAATGCGGGCTATTATTAAGTCAAAAGTCAAATGATGTTTATAAACAAAAACAAATTAAAAATAATAATAATAAGATACAACGCTATTATTCTCAACACTAAATACGCTGTGCGTGCCGATGATACAACAACACAACATAATACCACATGATAGTGAATGCTGCAAACCAACCAAACGACCAACCAACCAATCAATCAGCCAATCAACCATCAACTATGAAAATATATATTAACAAAATATATATAAATATGAAAGAAAAATCATTGAGTAATGCCAAAAACAAAAAAAAAAAAACAAAAATAATTATAACCCCCCTTATATATAATAATAGTCGTCGGTCGCCGTTCAATGCATTGGTGGAGCGTCGTCCTCATTGTGTCGGCTATGATGGTACGTGTCTCTACGTCTGTTCATCGTCTGTTGCAACATGCATGATCTTAAAAGCGCTAAATGAAATAATTTCATTTCTTATATTTTTAAAATCATTAAAAAAAATATAACAACAAAGATCTTATATAAAATATTAGAGATTAGTAGTATAATATGTACTATCTATCCATCAACACAAGATGATGATGATAATTGATATATTATTATATATTATGTGTAACACTTATTATACAAGTGATGATGATATGATGATCCCCCAATAATTCTAATCCCTTAAAAATCACTTAATTCAAAATGTAAGCTTAAAAGTGTCCAAATTATATTTTCTTATTTAGAAATTTAAAAAAATTACCAACCAAATCAACACCATTTGTGGATGTGTTGTTATTGGTAACCATAATAATATTGTTTTAAAATTTAACCATAGAACGTAATTTTTTGATGATGGACAAAGCAGTAACTCCTGCACTCAGTCGATAAAAAGAAAATAATAATTGTTTTTTTTTTTCTTCGCCTATATATTCTGTAAGAATTTGTAATTTTTTTTTTTACTAAATTGACTATTTTCTTTTCCCCCGATGCTATCCTCCTTAAACTTGTCGTTTTATTTCCTATTCAAACACTTGGCAATGCAATACTAAATCTATTTACTCTATTCTTTACTTCCAACATAAATGTTTGTATTTTATTTTGACACTAATAAAAAACTATATATAAATAATAATAATAATAAGAGATTATTGTTTCACAATTAAATGAGAAGAAAAAAATTAAAAATTTTTCTTTGTATATTTTTTAAGTTAAAAATCAAAACAGTTTTATTGTTTTATTTAGCCCAAACCCAGACCTATCCTATGCATACACAATTATCACCCTGCCCAAACAACAATTATTGCATTATAATCTGAAATGTAATACAATGTGTGTGTGTCTGCGCATAGAAACATAAAGATTTTATTTTGAAATAAGAAATTTTCTTTAATAAGATTTTTTTTTAATTTTGAGTTGTATTTCGAAAATGATGGCCTGTTTTGGATATGACAATGCGAAAGTAAACTCGAAAGAAAAATACCCATTTCTTTAATTTAAAAAATCTCCTGTAGTGCGATTCTCAACTCATTCTCTAAGTTACGAGAAAAATCGGCTACTTTTAAACCCAAATGTTTGATATTAAAAATAAGTTAAGGTTAGCCAAAATTTGCATGTACCGGTAGGCACTTTGATTTACCCATAATTTCCTTTATTACCGAAATTATAAGCATTTTAATTTTATCGACTTTTGTTGGTAACTCAAAAAACAAACAAAAAATGAGTTAGAGGATTTCACTACTGGAATTTGGGTTTTTTAATTCGAGTTCACTTCCGTATCGTCCTGGACAAACAGGGCCTTAATATTTAAAAGATGGACTATCATAGAAAATGTATTTTAATTGGTTTAATGTAATTGTAACAACTTTTATTTAATTTCAAAATCTTTTTGAGTTAAAATTGAAAGAGAAAAATATATATGATCCGTACCAAAGCAATATTTTATTCGGATTTCATTAAGGATTGAAGGAGTTCGGAGATAAAGTGCATTAAAATTACCAAGCAACATTTTCCTTATCTGAAATGGATCGAAATCAAAGCCAAGTTCTTCCGAGGGTCCCCTACATGCCGCTCTTCATTGACGTTTTTTGTGAATATATTGAGTAGCAGATTTGTGTGGAGGTTGCAGCTCTGCCAACTTCCAAGAGAAGATGCGTTCTGTACCCAACTGTGGTGGATATAGAGCATGTCAGAAATTAAAATCGTTCTGACAAAATTGGTATACGGCCATTGTTTATTTGGAAGTACTAAGAGTTTCCCTCGTCGCTCCTGGGTGATCCCTGCCAATACAGTTTATTACTCAAATATTGTCTGATTGTTTCCGGCGACTAAATCAAAAGTCATGTGTCTCACTAAAAACGACAAGTCAAAAATGCAACAAAGTCAAATGCCATAATTTTGACATTTTTTTAATTTTTTTTTAATGAAAGCAAAAAATTTCGGAAATAGCTTCAAATTTTAGAATAAGTTTAGATTTGTTCGAATTGGTCATCTTTGGCACGAATTATGACCTTCAAACGGCCAATGAAACCGTCACACGCTGCCCGAATGTTGCTCAGCGGTATTTTGTTCCATTCTCGGCGAAGCGCTTAACTGAGGTGATCGACAATTTGGTATTTTTACTGCCAACCTTGCTTTCTAAAATACTCCAGACACAATAGTCCAACGGATTGGTATCCGGAGATTTTGGTGGTCATTGTGCGCTGGAAATGAAGCGAGGAAACTCATTTTGTAACCCTTCTTGGGTGGCGCGTGCTGAGTGCGATGGTGTTGAGTCCTGTTGGAATGTCCAAGGTCTGCGGCCAAAATGTTTGCGTGCCCAAGGCTTTAATACACCCTCTAGAATATTTTCGCGATAAAATGCGGTATTTATTCTGATGCCACGGTCGATTAATACGAGCGGTGGCCAACCGAAGATGCATATTTTCAGCTGACCTCTCTTTCAAGTAAACACCATCATTTTGTTTGTTTACAAACTGCTGAACAACGAATGTTTTCTCATCGGAGAAAACCGAATTCGTCATTTTACCACTTTTGGCCAAGCGAAGCAACTCTTTAGCTCTTTTGAGTCTATTTTCTTTCTGTTGCGGCGTAAGTTGCACTATTTGAAATTTCAATGGCTTTACCCCGAGCTCAGTTTTCAATATTTGCCGAATGGAATATTGCGATATGTTCAGCTCACGAGCCATTTTTCGGCCACTACGACGCGGGTTTCGATCAAGTCGCTTCTTTACTTTTCGCATCATTTATGCTGATGTTTCTGTTTTCCTCCGTCCTAGCAGTATCATGGTACTAGACTCAAAAGATTTATTCACATTTAAATGCTGGAGTGCTCTAACGATAGTCTCTTGTGGTTTTCAAGTCAAATATAAAGAAATCACACCATGACGCTTGAATTCCATCACGAATAACTTTTTTTCTGGGAAATTCTCGCCAAAATGCTTTGAAATGAAGGACATTTCTCATGTTTGGAATCCCCAAAAAAACAAAAAATAAATAAATAAATAAAAAAAAAAAAAAACATTTTTCTTCAAACCAAATAATAATCATTTGAAATTTCCATTGATAGTCCCTCTTTTAGGTATTTCTTTTCATAACCACAACACTTCCAAAAAATATTTTCTTAATAAAAATAAGTTAAATAGCATATACATTTGCTAATTAAAAATAATAAAACAAAAACAGAAGTCCAAGGTTTAGTTTATAAGCAAAAATAATTATCTTAAATATATTTTTTGCAGATAAAAAAAGAGATGATAAGAGGGTATGTGCGTAATTACAACGTGAACGAATGTTTAATTATGATACAGAAAATTAATCATTTAATAATAATAATAATATTTAAATATTACACATTTGCTTTATATTTTAAAATTTATCATCAAAGATAATAATAAAATAAAATTACAATATGACAAAAAAAAAAAACTAAAGTTTAAAACAAAACCCAAAACATACAGAATTTTATTGAACGAAGAATGCAATGCATATGAAGTATATTTACAATGCAAAAGGCAAATGCAAAAATGAAACAACTATTTTGAAAACTAATGAGACTGTGATAAGTGAACAAAAACCTAAAAAACAACAAAAAAAATATTATGGGCTTAAGAACAATACCAAACCAAGGAAAAAAAATTACTACTGAAACTATTCAAAACAAGGTACAAATGAATGAAACAAACATTTACTTCTATTATGTGATATTAATCAAATAATCTTAAAATACAATACCAAAAAGACTGAAGAAGAACTTTTACAATATCATCTATCTCAACTAAATGAAAACATTAATTTTTTATTTTTTACCTTTTTTATACATTTATTTATTACGTGGTAAAAAAAAATATTTAATATAAATAGCAAACGTTCACTACGAAACAAACAAAATGACAAAAATAATTATAAATTAAAATTTGAACGAAAAAACAAAGAAGTGCAATATTTTAATTTAAATTTTTTATTTTTATATATTTTATTTACTTGTTTTTATTATTTAAGTTTGTAATGAAAAAATATTCCATTTAAAATAATTTGATCACGGCCATCAACTGTTACCAAAAAGAAAAAGAAAATTCTAAAACGTATTTGTAAATGGAAGCAAAACGGAATATTTTCAAAGGAGACCAATGTGATATCCTGATATATATTTTAATATGAGTAAAATACAAACAAAATGGTTTATCTTCAATGCAAGCAATGATACGATGTGTGGTATATTTGAGTGTTTTTAATTTATACATCAATTTAAAAAAATATTTCAAAACATTTAAAACAGCATTGATAGCTCAGAAAACTAAGAAACTAAATTAAAATTAATCACAATATTTTTTAATGTTCAAAAAAAAACTTAAATTTTTTTAAAAAAAAAACTTGAATTTATTTGTTGTGGAAACAAAAATAATTTGTTCATAACCCTTAGTTAGTGTTTTATATTTTTTATATACTGAGGATCGATCCATCTATTTAGCTGTGTGAGGGAATCAAACAGAAAAACCCATATGCTATATATGTAAACATAAATATTTATAATCAAAATTACAATTTAATGTATTGTTACAAAACAAGAAATCAATTCATTTGATACGGCCAAAACGTACCTCATTGAAATAACGGTTTCAAACCCTAGGTCTCTTTGGACCAAATTCGTTTTAGAATATTTGGAGTCGATCTAGCGATGTGCATCTGTCTGGCTGGCTGGCTGCGCACGCTAACTCTCGAAGGGAGTATCCGCTTTGATCCAAACTTGGTACATCGTAATATTATTGTCAAACTTAGATCGAGACATAATTTCAACATTTCCAAAAAAAAAAATAAATAAATAGTAATAATTTACTGCACACAAAGGATAATCCGATTTTGCTCCAACTTTGCAAATCCTAATATTTGCATCAGTGCTAGATCAAGTGCGAAAATGGACAATATTGGTCCACTCCATCCAGTACCTTCCCCACAAAGGGTCAAAATTTGGAATAATTATAACTTTTATAAAATGTGATGCAAGTGTCCGATTGTCTTCAAATTATATACATATCACAATATTTTTATTAACCCAAGGTCTGATCAACTCCTTCTGGTAACTCCCCCAAAAAACGTCGAAATTTTCAAAAAAAAAAAATATTTTCTGCACAGAAAGAGAAACGACAATCCGATCCTGCTCCCACTTTGCTAATCCTAATATTTGCGTCAGTTCTAGATCAGGTGCGAAAATGAACAGTATCGGTCCACTCCATCAAGCACACCTCCCCCACAAAGGGTCAAAATATTGAACAATTACAACTCTTATAAAATGTGATGCAATTGTTTAAAAATTTCACACATCCCAATATTTTTATAAACTTAAGGTCTGGTGTTAAGATGGAATTCATCGGTTCATTTTTATGCCAACCCCTTCTGGTACCTCACCCAAAAAGGGTCACAATTTCCAATACTTTTATCTGACATAACTTGCGGAACAAATCAGCGATTCTTTACAACTTGCTATATCTATGCTATATACGTAATTTATCGAAATTTATGATTTCGCATACAATTGGACAAAATTCGCACATATCTCATATAAAGTATAGGAAGTAGTCGACATAATCCAAATCTGGCACGTTGTAATATTTATATCAGTCTTAGGTCAGAAACGAATTGGTCAATATTGGCTAACTGCTTCGGAACGTCCCCCATAAAGGGTGAATAGTTTGAATAATCATAACTTAAGGCTTGGTTCTTAAATTATTGAATTTGACCACATTGCGTCCCCTCTAATATCATTAAAGATTGATTGATTGATTGAAAGTTAGGAGATATTTTCAACACAAAGTAATGCTGAAATTATGCTTCTTTAACATTCCTTAGCATTGAACTGCAATATATATTTCGCAACAAAAATTATAAAAATATTCCTTAATTTTTTTATCCTACGAAATATCTCAAATTATTATATAATAAGCTATAAGAATTATGCAATTACGTGATAAATATCGATTGATCTATGCATGCAATACAACAAAAAAGGTACATATAAGATAATCTGAGTGATAGGTAAGTTTATTTATTAAAAAAAATAATAATAATAAAATCAGGTGCTTATATACGTAACGTGTACATAATATAAAGTGGCCCCTAATGATAATATTTTAAACTCGAATCCAAAAAAAAAACTACTAGACTGCAAAATGTATATTTTTTCGAAAATAATTTTATATACATCGTCATAAAATGCAAACGACAACATATCGAATATGAATGAATGCCAAACAAGTACATTTACACTAAGTGAAACTATAATTTATGGTGATATTAATTAATGATAACAAAAAAAAGTAAAAATATTGCAAAGAAATCATATTGATTTATACTATTTAAACATTTAATAAATCTTTTTATTTGCTTTTATATTTTAATGAAAAAGAAAGCTTGACAATTTCTGTTTTAAGAAAATTATTTTTTCTGTTTCTGTTTTAAGAAAATTATTTTTTTTTTGGATTTTATTAAAAACATTATAAAATTTATTTTTTTTAAACTATGATATTGTTGATTTTACAACAACGAATTCTACAATTTAGATTTATTAAAAAACTGCCAAAGAATCCTTACAAAAAAAAAGATCGAAAGTCCATTTATAAACCATTTATAATTCATTGAAGGATACAAAACAGTTGTTATCAAAAACAAAGTTTTATAAAAACAGTGGTAAGTTGCACGAATAATGAAAGAAATATACATATAAACAAAATTTTATATTTTTTTTTTAAAATATAAAAAAAAAGAAAAAATAATTAATGCTGAGGTAATAACAACAGAAAATAAGGATCGGAAACCTAGCACAAAGAAGAAAACCAAAAAAATATTTTATACATTTTTATTTGCTTTTATGTTTTAATGAAAAAAGCTTGAGTATTTTAATTTATATCGAAATTTGTTAATTTCTCTTTTTGTTTAAAGAAAATATAGCATTTTTGTAAAATGTTATTAAAAAACACAATACGATTTATTTTTTTAAACTCTGATTTTATAAATCCTAACTTTGTTGATTGTACACAAACCCCGTCCCAAAAAGTACAATTTAATTTTTTTAATACAAATGACTCCTTACAAAATATTGAAAAATACCAAAAGTTAAAAATACTTTCAAAACATTATAAACCCGATTATATAATTAATTGAAGGGTACATACAAAACAGAAGTTACCAAAACAAAGTTTTATACACACAGAGTGGTAAGTTTGCAGCAACAATAATTGACATAGAAATCTATAAAAAACTAAAAAAAAAACAGCAATACTTATTTATTAAAAAAAATAAATAAAAACAATAATTTATATTTACCTAAAAATATATATAATATAATCATATATACTACTGATCTGATTGTTCTATTTCAGCTAAATTATATAAGAACAAATTACATGATGATAGCTACAGCTGGCTATTACTGCCACTACTACTACTGTTACAACAACTACTAACACCTATCTGCATTTGGTAATGAATAAAACCAACAAAAAAATGATTTCAATAGGAGGGTGTCGTATTTTCTTTAAATTAAAATTAAAATATTAAAGAATTCCAGTTTAAATATAAACGTTTGTCTTGACGGTTTTATCTTACATCTTCTGTCGGAAAGTTTTCTTGCCCGCAAAATGAACCAAAATACAAATTTTTAATTATGGGATTTTCAATCTGGGATCAAAACGTAAACCAATAAATTTGACCCATAACCAAACTCTTTAATGAACTTTAAATTTAATATTAAGTTTGTCATTCCGTTTGTAACACCTCGAAATATACATTTTTTAATGGATTATGTAGGTTCACGTTTTGTATAGCCACCATATAATGGCACCTTTGGTGATTTAAGCGAAATTATTCACCGGTTCGTTATGGATACTACAGTCTATGACAGAAAATTGTCTGTGCATTGTAGCCCCCATATATCGGTACCTCCCTATATTCGGTATTTTGATGATTTTAGCAACATTATTCACCGAATTATTTTTTTGAGTTTCGCATTTCAATATTGTAATGGCTTATGATAAAAGTTGTCTGTGCAGGTCCACGTCGTCGCATAGACCCTAATATAATGGGTACGGGTAAAATAATTTACTGCACAGAACGAGAAAGGAAAATCCGATTTTGCTCCAACCTTGCAAATCCTAATATTTGTATCAGTGCTAGGTCAGGTGTGAAAATGGACAATATCGGTTCACTCCATCAAGTGCCTCCCCCATAAAGGGTCAAAATGTTGAATAACTCTTATAAAATGTGATGTAAGTGTCCGATTGTCTTCAAATTGCACATATCACAATATTTTTATTAACACTAGGTATGGTGTGAAGATGGAATGTATCGCTCCAGTTACTTCTAGTAACTCCCCCCTACAAAGGGTAACATCATGGAAAATTATATCTATATATAGATATAGATTTAAAAAAAAATTATTTGCCAAATTATAATAAAATCGGTTCAGATTTGGATATAGCTCCCATACACATTTTCAGCCGATTTTATGTATTTGATACACCAAACACGCTATGCATATCTAATTTTAATGAAATTTGGAATGTTTAACGGAATTTGAAACAAAAATAAATTTGTCAAATTATATTAAAATCGGTTCAGATTTGGATATAGCTCCCATTATCGGCCGATTCGTTATATTTCTCGATTTGCAATGAAATCTGGAAATTTTGAATGCATATAAAAGCAAAAGAGGCAGCGATGTGCACCGGGTTCAGCTAGTCTCTTATAAAATGGGATATAAGAGTCCCAAATGCGAAATGATATTCAATCCTTTTCAAAATTGACAAATCCCTTATATTTCTACTTAAACAAGATCTGATACATATATGGGATTTATTGGTACACTTCTTCTGCTACCTCCCTCCACAAGAGATCAAAATTTTAAATAATTACAAGTCTTATAACATGCGGAACAAGTCAGCGATTTGCTCCAAACTTCGTGTATCACCATATTTCTATTTTCCACGGATCCAATATAAATATGGGATATGAAGAACCACTACAAAAATTCAACATTTTCCTACAAAAATTCAAAAACGTCATATAAAATGAAGGGAATTAATCGATATAGTCCAACCCTGGCACGTAGTCCTAATATTTATATCTGAGTTAGGCCAGATGCGAAGTGGACAATATTGGTCCACTACTCATAAACGGCCCAAATTTTGAATAATCATAATGCAAGTCAAAATATATTTCATAAACCGACATAGGCTGTGAGGGTATACATCTGTCGTCAAAACCGGTTGACACTTTATGATTTTTTTTGAAAAATTTAATTTGCTTTTAAATAAATCCCTTATTGAAATCATTTTAATCGAAAAAAAGAAAAAATCTGGAGACAAAGATCATATGGAAACATATCCATGAAACAATAAATTAGAAATTTTGATTTTTTTATTATAATTTTTATTATTACGTTTATATGCCTTTTTGTTGTTTTATTTTTTGAAATTATATTTACAACATGAAAATTAAAATAAAAATAAACAGTAATTTGAAAAAAATATTAAACACTAATTTGAAATACCTTTATAATTTTTACAAATTAAAAAAATAAATAAAGAAAACTTAAGTTTAATTACAAATTCACTGCCCAGAAAAAAATGAAATTTTAAACGAATTTTTTTTCTTAAATGAAAAGAAGAACCACTTTCTTTATTCAATAAGTATTAGTGAAGAGGAGACAAAAATAGTTTGAATCAACAGTATAGGTATCTACAAAGGCAAAAGAGACATATTAAGAAAACATACACAAGAAAATATTGCTGCCAAGTCAAAATCTAAAACAAAATTAATCCAAATAACTAAAAAACAAACAAGTGCCAGGATATTCATATGGCAAATGGAAAAATATATATAAAAAAGTCAACCCTAAATGCAAATGAATGCATAAAAGCAAACTTTTTTTGTTTATAATATTTTACTTATTTGTTAATCACACTTTCAATAAATTGATTACATTTTACATTCCTTTTGTCCTTATTTTTTATATGTTGTTATTTTCTAATATTTATTTTGTTTTGATTGTTATAAACGTTATTTTTTTAGTTTGAAAAGAAGAATAGAAAAAAACTGTGATAATCTCATCAAATAAATACAAATTTTGTTTTATACAGCGAATCTTGTTTTATTTCCTTTAAAGTTGTATAACAAATATTTCAAAATTCTGAAGGAATATAATCCGAAAGTTTATATTTTTAGTAACAAATACTTGAGATAGGTAAGTACACTTATATCTTTATATTAAAAAATAATATTATATGTATATGACACAATTTATTATATTTATATTTGTGTTGCTTGTTGATTGTTGTCGAGTCAATTTTACCAGTTTTTTGAGTTGAACTGTATCTCGAAAAAAAACTTTTGTAAAAGTCTAGCGCCAAATAATATTAGCACCTACCTCCCTAGGGTGAGATAAAAAACTGCAACAAAGTCGGACGCCATAATTTTTACATTTTTTAGCATCAAATTTTAGATTAGTTCGAATTGGTCACCTTTGGCACGAATTATGGCCTTCAAACGGCCAATGAAACCCTCACACGCTGCCCGAATATTGCTCTGCGGTACTTTGGCTCATTCCCGGCGAAGCGCTTGCCTGAGGCGATCGACTCTTTGGTATTTTCTTATTGCCAACCTTGCTTTCAAAAATACTCCAGACACAATAGTCCAACGGATTGGTATCCGGAGATTCTGGTGGAGGAGGAACCTCATTTTGTAACCATTCTTGGGTGACGCGTGCTGAGTGCTATGGTGCTGAGTTCTGTTGCAATGTCCAAGGTCTGCGGCCAAAATGTTTGCGTGCCCAAGGTTTAAATACAACCTCCAGATTATTTATGCGATAATATTCGACATTTATTCTAATGCACGGTCGATTAATACGAGCGGAGAGCGACCATCGGCTGTTATGGCGGCCCACACCATCACCATGGCCGGCGCTTGAGTTCCCATGTCCAACCGAAGGTGCACATAAACACGATCATTTTGTTTGTTTACAAATTGCTGGACAACAAATGTTTTCTCATCGGAGAAAACCAAATTCGGCAGCTCGCTACTTTTGAGCCTATTTTCTTTCTGTTGCGATTTAAGTTTTTGCACTTTTTGGGATTTCAATGGCTTTACCCCGAGCTAATTTTTCAATATTTGCCGAATGGCGAATGGAATATTGCGATATGTTTAGCACACGGCTGCTGCGACACGGGTTTCGATCAAGTCGCTTCTTTACTTTCGAATAACTTTTTTCTGGAAAATTCTCAACAAAATACTTTTGTACACTTCTAAACAATATAATGAGCTGTCACTGGAAGAATTTTAACAGGTGTCGGAGGAGAGGCTTAGAAATGACAGTAGTCTGAAGTTGGTTCTTCATCTCACCCTCTATATTTTAAAATCTGAATGAGTAGACAAAAAACATCCTTTTTATACCCTCAGTCATATGGCTAGAGAGGGTATATATCATTTGATACGACAAAAACGTGTCTTATTGAAATAACGGTTTTTGACTTTAGGTCTCTTTGGACCAAATCCGTTTCAGAACATTTGGAGTAGATCTAACGATGTCCGTCCGTCTGTCTGGCTGGTGCGTACGATAACTCTAGAAGGGAGTATCCGATTTGATCAAAACTTGGTACATCATAATTTTATTGTCAAACTTAGATGGAGTTCGGAGGTGGGCAATATCGGTCGACTTCTTCTGATACCTCTCCCACAAAAAAACTTCTTTTCTGCATAGAAAGGATAGTCCGTTTTTGCTCCAACTTTGTAAATTCTTATATTTACATCAGTGCTAGGTCAGGTACGAAAATGGCCAATATCGGTCCACTCCATTAGATACCTTCCCCACAAAGGGTCAACATTTTGAATAATTATAACTCTTTTAAAATGTGATGTAAGAGTCTTCAAATTACATACATCACAATATTTTCATTAGCCCAATGTCTGGTATGAGAATGGAATATATCGGTTCATTCCTTCGGGTATCTCCCCCACGAGTCTCTGGTAGGGATTAATGTTTCACATGAGGCAGCTACAAAAATTTCAGATATCCGATCCAATACAAAATTTTCTATTGATTCTCCCATTGTTACCTCTAAAAGTATTTGATGGTATGTAGCGTGGTCTTTGTTTATCCACTTGTCTCTAATGCCCCAATTAGTGTTGTCCTCATTGCGCCGCAGATGCTTAAGCAGCATATTCGTTGAACTTTCTTTAGTATTTTGATATTACATTTTTTTAGCCATAGCTGTCCACCAGACTACCGAAGCGTATGTTAGAATAGGTCTAATTACGCTTTTGAATAGCCAGTGTGTCATATTTGGATTGAAACCCTATTTGAAGCCTATAGCCTTTTTACACGCTGCCCAAATATTTACATTTTGTTTTCAGTTTTGAGAGGAACACATTTTATTGTTGTTGTTGCCGTGCCGAAATCATCGAGAGGAATACATTTGCTTATAGAAATATATGATTGATATTAATTCAAAAACGCTTTTATTTTGAGAATATTTTTTCCAAACAAAAAAGTTAGACAAGGTGCTACACTTTTACATGCTATTATCAAGTTTTAAGTTTGGGTACGTGTGTTTTTTTGTTATAAAACAAATGTATGTAGTATATATCGCTCTGCCCCAGGTATATAACAATGATCTTGTTGTTATTGTGTTTTTTATTCAAGCTATAAAATTGCGTGTGTTTAGTTAATATGTCATTTGTTGAAAGCCATTGCAGGTGTCAAGCCAGTGTTTAATGTTTGGCGCCATTTTCATGGTGTGTTATGACAAATTTTCGCAGTTAGAAAAAGAAAAAGTTACTTTTTTTACTCTCCTCTCCCATGAACTGTTTTTGTTGTATGAATGTTTCTTTGTGTGAATATTGTTACTCTCACATAAAAGGAAATGGAGTCAATTGGATAACATGGAGAAGAATGAGTATGCCTTACTCTCTTCACTTCCTCTTTTATAACGAAACTTTCTGTGTGTGATCCATGTATTATAAAATTCGTGAAGTTGGCAACACCAGTCGCCCACAGTGGCCTTCCACCTTATGATTGTGTGCAAAGTATTTTTAATTAAGAAAAATTTTATTTAATTATTTTGTTTTTTTTTTTTTTGTAGTTGTTTATATACATACATGCTTTAGGAGATAAATCGACCTTAAATATAGTAGTGGCTAAAGTTTTCTTCCATTTTGTTACAAGAGAAACGGTGTTGTATGTGTTTTCTTTTTGTGGTTGTAATATTACAAAGAGATCAACTTAGGTTTTTTTTATTAATAATTGTTTCCAGTTGTTTTTTTTTTTTTTTTGAGTTGTTATAATAAACTTACATTACTAAAGACATTGTTTTAATTTTCAGTGTACATTTAGTTTAAAAATACTAGATAGGTTAAGAAAATCGGAGTTTTATTTGTTGTGTGTGTAGTTTGCATATGGTCCAGGTGTAAAGCCAAATCTCATAGAAAGGGATTTAAAGGCCATTCTCATTCATTCATTGTCCATTCACAGAAAGAGAGTGGGGATAAGGTGGAGGAGGGTTGGATGCATTGATTGGCCTGTTCGTGAGAGTAATTTAACGTCTCTTGCCGAAACGCAAGAAAACGTGATCGACATCGGTACGCTTGCCCAGGTTGTTGGTGTAATCTTCAGAGTTGGTGACCAAAGCTAGGAGGGGGAAGAAAAAGAAGATATTAGTTTTTTCTTTTGAGATTTCACAGAGATTTAATGTTGAGTAACTTACTGGCAGCCTCATTGTTGATGTAGGTTTTCAGAGCGGTGGTCAATTGATCGGAATTTTCCAAGGCCATGCACACTTTACGAATGTGTGGTGGCATACCCTCAATGATACCGGGCTGGCACAAGGGAGCCACTGTCGAGGCATAGCAGCTCACCAAAACGCTGGAGAAGACAAGGCTGCAGACAATGATGGCAACAATTTGGTTCGACATTTTGCTGCAATGAGAAAGATAAAGAGAGGAAACGGGTTAGTACATAGATAAAAATGGGAGGCTTTTTAGCTATTATTTGATTGGCAACACTGGTTAAAGCAGTTCATACATGTTTTGTTTCACTGCCAAACATCTATATTTTGGTCTGTAATTTAACCATTAATCGTCTTACAAACGAACAAAGAGTGCGAATCATTGACTTTTATTATCAAAATTCGTGCTTTGCTAAGAAAGTTCATCGCAATCTTCTTTCATTTTATGGACGAAGTTCATTTTTGGTTCAATTGGTACGTGAATACGTAGAATTGTCGATTTTCGATTTCGACCAATGCATTCAGGGAAGGTCATAGTTTGGTGCGGTTTATGAGTTGCTGACATTTTTGGATCGTACGTCTTTAAAGATCCCTCTAACCGTAAGGTAGCTATAATTGGTTAGCTCTAGAGCAAGAGCTTTACTCGTATTGCATGGTTTAGATAAGACAGTTCCATATGCCACACAGCACACTTAACAATTGACCTATTGAGATGTGAGTTCGGTGAACATTCTATTTCAGTTTCGGAACCGTTTTGTTAGCGGCCTAGATCGTGTGAAATTCTATTCCCACGGAAAGCATTTTTCTCGAGCGATACTACGTCAAATCTTGAATAATTGAGGAGGAATATATTTGTAAAGATGGCAACGCGAACGGGTACTTTTCGTACCTAGTGTATCCTATTTGTTGTACAAATTAGAAAAGCTTTAACTTTTTATAAAAATTAGGCAGCTTAGACCAGCTAATTTTCAATGTTAGGATTTGAAAATATGTGTCGATCGTTGATAAGTCTGCGGCGCAACATAGAAGTTTGAAAATGCGATCTTTAATGGCTAATTTTCAGCAATATTTCTTCTTAATAACCATGGTACAATAAGGAGGTAGAACAGCATCGTAATGCTATTTAAATACACCCCTAAGGCTATGCCCGCTTTCTGTCACAATTATTCAAAATTAGATGCAACAAGTTTTCATTTATTTAATTTTTCCTTTCTTTCAAAAATATGATCAAACTGTGCAATGTACGCATCTTTCAATCATTGATTTTGAAAATATTTTGTTTTTATTTTTCAAAGCAACAAATACATACACAAAATTGGCAGAAATCGGGCACACTTAGAACAAAAATTGTAATCAGCTGGTAGCTCTATATTTGATGTGTTGACTATTTTTAATACGAAATTATTGTTCCAATTGGACTGACTACTTGATATTCTCTTGGATCAATATTGAGTGCCTAGAAAAGACATCCGTGCGGAATTCTAACATTTTTCCCGAGAGATCATTCTTCCTGTCATAAATCATTAAGGAGAAATCATTTGAGAAGATGGCAACGCGAATGGGCCTTTTTCGTATCTAGTATATCCTATTTGTTGTGCAAAATTTATTAGTAAAGGTTTTGGATGTTGATGAGTCTGCGAAACAACATAGAAGTTTGAAACCACTATTCTGAATTGCCAATCTCTTCAATGTTTTTGGTCGATTTTGCAAAAAATATAAAATAATCGAGAAGAAATCATCTGCGAAGATGGCAGCGTGAATTGGTCTCTTTCGTACCTAGTGTATCCTATTTGTTGTGCATGTTTGAAGTTCATTGATTTGTACATAAATTAAGCGATTTAAGTAAAAAAGATATTTTATTTGGATTCGAATGTATGAAAACACGATCCCGAAAGGTCAATTTCTGTTTGTTGTTTTATTTTTTAAATTTATTATTGGAACAAAATGCAAAAATATTAAATTGCCTTTGAAGACCAAACATTTACACAAATATTGAATACAATTTAATGTGAAAATTTTAAAGCACAACTTCTCTCAATCCCTATTGTTTTTCATCATAAATTTGACCTTTAAATAGAATTTATAATTTATCTCCGTTTCATCATCAGCACAACTTTCAGCTTTGTCCAGCGCGAAAGGATTCAATTGCATTGGGGTATTACATTGCAATGCTGTTGGCATGCAAATTGCTTTATGGCAACATTCAATCCGTTCAGGTTAGACAATAAAATGTATCAACTATTTTTTATTCTTCTTTTTTTCCTCCACTGTTCCCAAAAGGGAATTGAAACAAATGAAAACTAAGCGTAAAATACGTGCGGATACATTGGCGGAGGTCAAAGTGAAATGGAAACGCAATTTGCAGGTCAAAGATGTGGTAGGGAATGATTGGAAAATATCACATTTTTAAATCAGTAAGAAATACTTATTCTTAGAGAGAAGGAAGAGCATTTTTGGAATAATTAATGGTGTTGAAAAAAAATAATTTTAATTTTGGTATAGAGAAATATGTTTCCCTTATTCTCGATACGTCCCTGGGGGGATTATGTTTTTCCATTACAATGTTGTTCATTAAAGTAAGCTCTAAGAAACATGGGAAATAAATTGCATATCACAATGAATGGGTGTCTGTGTTATAAAAAATATGGATTGGATAAATTTTAAAATTAAAAGTTAAAGAAAAATATTAATTTTTTAAATCTTTGAACAAAATTATTGAATGTGGTGGCGTATGATAGATATCGTCATTATACGTCACCCTGAAATCTAAACATACATACACATATAGGGCGTATGATGATGTACAGCACGTATACGCCTATACTTCTTATGAAAGTATAGGCTGAGTTAAAAAATCTGCAACAAAGTCAAACGCCAAAATGTTTACAATTTTTTTTAAATGTTATGGAATGTAAGCAAAAAATGTCGGAAATAGCATTACATTTTGGAATAAATTTAGATTTGTTCGAATTGATCACCTTTGGCACGAATCATGGCCTTCAAAAGGGCCGTGAAACCGTAAAACGCTGCCCGAATGTTGCTCTGCGCTTTTGAGTGCAGTTGAGGCGTTGGGGAAATCTAGCAATAAACAATAAGTATTTTAACAATTCGTTGTTCTTGTGCGCTGACGCATACGATAATGTGTGATATAGTAAAGCACATATATCGATACGCTCAGCAGATGCACAAGACCACTTGAATGAAACGTCAAGCAGCCCTGCAATATTCTCCATTCGATATTAGAATAGATAAGAATAATTGTGTGGCTGCGATTAGGTTAAGTTAGATTAGTTTTTGTAGCACTTAAGAAACATATTTTTGAAATAAAATCAGAATTGAATCAACAGCCAAACCATTTGGTTGGTTTTCTTTTCTCACCGAAAACAGAATAGAGTTGACAATCGAAGAGGGAGATTGGACTCTATTCTTGCTTACAATTGGTCCTTCGAGCCGGATACAAAGAATTGAATCTACATCCAAGCGAAGCGGTTGTATTCTTTTCTCATTACCGAATAAAGAATAGAGTTGACAATCGAAAAGGGAGATTGGACTCTATTCTCGCTTACAGGCCCATTCCGGGCGAAGCGCTTGCTTGAGGTGATCGACACATTGGTATTTTTAGTGCCAACCTTGCGTTTGAGTCTATTTCCTGTTCTTTTTGTTGCGGTGTAATTTCTTGCACTTTTTGGAATTTCAATGGCTTTACCCCGAGTTCATTTTTTAATATTTACCGAATGGAATATTGCGATATGTTCAGCTCATGAGCCATTTTTCGGTCGCTTCTTTACTTTTCGAACAATTTCTGCTGATGTTGCTGTTTTCTTCCGGCCACTTCCTTGACATCGGGCTACGCTACCAGTATCACGGTAACGAGCGATGATACGAGACACAATTTAAAAATCACACTATCACGCTTGAATTCCATCACGAATAACCTTTTTTCTGGAAAATTCTCACCTAAATGCTTTTGTACGCTTGTAAATAATTTAATGAGCTGTCACTGGAATAATTTTAACCACTGTCGGATGAGTGGCTTAGAAATGACAGCAGTCTGAAATTGGTTGCAGTTTTTTCATCTCACTCTGTATATGACCTAATTTCTGAGATATCGCCAATTGTATTTAAAAAAATTGCGGGTTTAGAAATTGTTTAAATATTCATTTATAGAGGCCGTTAAATGCTCTTCGAATGATTTTGGAAAAGCAGAAGCTTATGCTACAATTGACATGTCTTAGGGTCCCCAAATATCTACTGAAATCCAGAGATATACCACAACATATTAAGCGATTCAAATATTAAAATCTTTAACCTTCATTTTTGGATCAATTCTACTTTTTTACTCGTCACATTTTTAGGTATTTAATTGATATATTAATAAATAATTAATATTAATATATAGTCCATGAGCCATACAAAAAATATGAGCAGCCTTATATTCTCAAATGTCTTTCCCTTCCACATACCTCAGGCCATTTAATTCATACCTGTGTCGAATGTGTTTCTAAGGCTAAAGAATATTTTTTTCCTATTTCATTCTTACAATATGTTCCTAATGAAGATATCTTTATTTACTAAATGCAGATTAACACATAAGACACACTTAAGTTTCCCTCCTCTTCCCCTCGCCAAAAATAATTCATTTTTCCATTCATGCAATAACTCACAATCAGTCATGGAATGTCTGCTGCCGCGCTGCACATTGTCACACTTTATTTTCTTTTTTGTTTTTCAAAGCAGGTGAGCAAGATTATGGCCCGGAGATAGAGAGTGAGAGAGAGAGGAGAGCATTAAATGCTATTGCCCGTAAGGGGTCTAAAGTGTTGATGCTGCATTGCAACATATTGTCAACATTCAATCTCTATTATGTTGTGAATGTACGAATATTAGAAAGGCAAAGCAAATGATGATGACGATGTCGTTGACGATGAGGACTTAAAGGATATTAGCATTGATTGACGGAAAGTAACAAGCCGAAGAGACAGAGTACGTCCATAACGGTGTCAGTGTGTGACAGATTTGTTGTCAGTGGAGCAAAATAAAATGTGTGTGTGTCTCTCTTTGTCTCTGAGGGTGTGTTTGTGTGTGCGTGACAATGTCCATCAACTTGATAAGACCACATTATGCTCTGTTCTCATCCTCCATCAGGCCATCAACATCTAATCACAATCAATCCACAAGGCAACTAAACGCATCATCCGACCTGTTGATGATATTAAATTCCGTTGTTGTTTAGCAACAGGTTATGCGCGTGTGATAGAGAGGTGTGAGAATTAGCAAATGAAAACATATTGAATGCATTAATACCAATTTAAACTTTGCCAACGGAAATTTAAACAAATCACCTTCCGTTTTTTTTTTGGAACTCAATGTTGATTCAAAATTTTGAATATCATGTCTAGCTTCAGTGGAGGGGCAAACAAATTTTGGTATTTGGTTTTCTAATGACCATCTCTCTATGTACATCCACTTTAATGTCATTAGAGGTTGTTTTGTCATGCATCCACGTCATTGGGTATTTCGATTCGAGAGGTGGGTAAATGTGACAACAGGTGTTTGTTTGCTTGTCGGAATGTTAGAATGCAGCTCCCTTCAATATCCAAAACGTGCTGTGGTTAATGCATGGAAGCTTAATTTCATGAATGGTGTCGGACTTACAGACGGGCAGGCAGTCAGGCGGACAATAGCTTTATGTTTTGGAAAATGTCAAATGTTATGAAGACTAATTTCTGGAATTATTTGGACTGTGCCAAACACAATTTTCTAATTTTTAATTGGGTGATTAATTTTCTTTTTTTATTTTCTTTAAATTCTGGTATAAATTTTTTAAAGGTTAAAATTTTAAAATTTGGGTAAATTTTCAATAAAAACATTCATGAATATCCGCACGGAATTCTATTCCCATGAAAAGTATTTTTTCCAGGAATAATTACTCAAATAATGAAAAAAAATGCGGTAAGATGGCAACGCGAATGTGTTTTTTGTACCTAGTGTACCCTATTTTTGTGGAAATTGGTATAAATTTGGAATGTTTTTCTTTTTTTATAAAAACCGAGCAAACAATTAATATTCAAAATTAGGATTCAAATATATGTGTTGAATGTTTATAATTCTGTGGAGCAACATATAATTTTAAATTACAATCCTGAGTGACCTATTTCGCCAATGTTGGTCGCTTTCTTAAATAAATTATTGCCGGAATGTTAGGGACTGCAGTGTATTTCCTAAGCTTATGAGTGTTGCACCTTTCTCAGTTTTCACAACGTGCTGTGGTTAATGCATGGAGGCTTAATTTAGGCATTCAGGCGTACAATATGCTTTATGTTTTGGAAAATGTTATAAATACTAATATCTGGAATTACTTGGATTATGTCAAACTCGATTTTCTAATTTCTAATTGGATGCATAATTGTTCTTTTTTTATTTTCTTTAAATTCTGGTATCAATTTTTTTAAAAAGGTCAATCCTTTAATAAAAACATTCATGAATATCCGCACGGAATCCTATTCCCATGAAAAGTATTTTTTTTTTTTCGAGAAATAATTCCTCAAATAATGAAAAGATGAAGAGAAATACTTTGGTAAGATGGCAACGCGAATGTGTCTTTTTCGTATCTTGAGTACCCTATTTTTTGTACAAATTTGAAGTTCTTTTGTTGTTTTTATAAATTAAGCAACCAACTAATATTCAAAATTAGGATTTGATTATATGTCTTGGATGTTGATAAGTTTGTGAAGGAACAAGGTAGTTTAAAGTGCAATACTGAATGTCCAATTTTACCAAACTTTCTTGGTAGATTTTTTTAAGTAAATTATTAGACTAAAACGCACAAATAATTCAAAAACACTGTACAGGTGGCGCGAAAGTAATCCTCCTATCAGAAAATGCTAGAAATTTTCTTGGCCGCTTTTATAAATGAATTATTAAGATAGAATGCGAAAGTATTTTAAAAACACTATATATGTTAATAACTAATTGAATATAGGGTATAAATTATTGGTTTCCAAAATTAAGAATCCCTCTAACCTCTGTATTTAAAATTTCCTCACGAAATTATTATTTATGATTGGACTGATTATTTAAGTATGTACTAAGGACTTTCGCTGTTAATATTCCATGAAATGAAAAATTTGGAATTAATGTCCTCTGGTCTATTTTAAGCTTTTTATTTAGAGCCTTTTCATATATAGAGCCAAATATAATACGTATTCAAAAGAAATTCGAAATATGGAAACTCAAAATGTATTATTATGTCGGAATCTTGAATTTAAGACCTTTTTTTAAATTTGAAAGAAGATTGGGTTTTGATCAATGGAATATCAAGATGGTCGAAGTTCTCTCTATACTTTAATTTTTTTCACAATATTTTTCTTTTTTTTCATTGGGAGCTACTTCCTCATTTTTGAAACTTTTAATACTTTCTTATAACTTATTACTCTTTTGTCGAAATCTAAAATTTTTATTTTGAAATAAGACTGGGTGTTCATGAATGAAAGGGAGATCTAGGTACTGAGTGCTCTATATTCGCCTCTTTATCCTTTAAATTAATTTTTTTACAATAACATTTTCATTTTTCAGAACTTTTTTTATTGATTGATGTTGTCAATCCTAATTTTTCCCAAAATTTCGTAAAAATGTTCACTTTTTCTCTATTCACGTTGAACTTTTTTTATTTTTTTTTTTAAACTTGGTAGCACTTTTTCTCTTAGTTTCATTGTTAATAATTAATACTTACATTAGTTGTTGTTGTTTTTTGTTTTTAAATTTGAAAATTTCAAAAATCGTTGTTTTTAATTTCCGTGGAAATTTGTTCGCTTTTGGATCCGTTTGATGTACACTGGTAAGTGTTTGAAACTGTTGTGATGCTGTTCGACAGGATTCCTTCCGCTTTTATTCATTTACGAATCCTTGGAAATCCTTAGAAATGCAACATTCCCATTGGCTGGCAGGACATCGTAAAAACATCGTTTCTAATTCAAACGACAAGAAACGATGCCTTCTGCCGTACTGAGAGAGTAACAGCTAGAGAGAAGGTGGGTGGGAGGAGTGAGAGAGTGTGGTTGAATAGTCAAGACAAACAAACACTTGTTGCTGTTGCTTTTGGTTTTGGGCAAAGAGAAGAGAAGAGAAAAAGAAGGCGTTGACTTAATGCCACCCAATCACCAAGGATGACAACAGTAACAACGATAAAAATTTGAAGAGTTCTGTAGTTGTGAAGTGAGAAATGTGTGTGTGTGTATGAGTGTGTGGGAGTATTGTACAGCCATGTGATGACGTCGTAACAATGTGAAATATTTACTTGGGGTATTAGTTTCAATGAGTTTTACGTGTGAAACACGTGTATTCTCCTGGGCAGTGAACACGGATGGAGAGGGTGGATGGGTGGTGAAGATGAACTTTCTCCTGATGAGCTCCTCACATAATATAACATCTCATCTTGCCCCTGCAAACATTAATAGCATTTCAATTTCATTTTTTGTCTTTACTTCATTGTTTCACCAATTGTTTGTTTAAACTATTAAACATTTAACTATTGAAGGGGATGAGGTGTAAACCTTGTATGACAGACCACCAACTATCTTTTTCAGTGATAGGAAAAAAAGAAGAGAAAAAAATAATAAAAAATGACAATTGAATAGTTGTAAACTTGTTATTATTAATAAAGTTTTGTTAAATTTTATATCCTCGTTTGTTTTTATTCTTGTTTTTTTTATTGTTGTTAACAACCATATGCAGCTGTTTTACGTTTAGTTTATACCTTTTAATGTATGGTTTATGCAGGCTATTATGTGGTTGGCCGCATCTTTCCCTAATTGAATTTATGATCTCCATGCCATGTTTGTTGTTAATGTTCATCTCAGGGCTAATCCAATTTGTTGACATAATGCAATTGTTGTAATGGATGTCTAATCACAAGATGGACACAATGTTTCTCATATCTATATGTAGGTATATTAAATCAAATAACTTTAAGGACTACCCCAAATCTATGATAATACATACATAAAAGGTTATTTTTATACTATCTTCCATGACAGGAAATTGCTAATACAGGTCCACATCTTCGTATAGCCCCCATATAACGGCACCTCCAAGTATTCGAAATTTGAAGGATTTTATCTTTTTTTAACAGAATCATCATTAATTTGGTATTTGGAGCTCGTAAAAGGCATCACCTTCTCCGACTAATAATTAGCTATATAGGCGCAAGTTTCCGTAAAGCTCCCATTTACCTGTACCTCCAGATATTCAGTATTTTGACCCTTTTAGCCACATTTGTCACCAAAGTTATTTCAAATTCGGAGTTTGAAGTTTCCAATAGGTGCCAACTTCTTTGGTAGATAATTTCAACGTTTTTGTACCCTACACCACTCTGTGGTCAGGGTATTATGCCTTTGTGCATTTGTTTGTAACATAGAGAAGGAAGCGAGTTAAAGCCATAGTTCCTTTTGACGATCTGCATAGAATCCAATTCTGAGTTGATTTATGCATATCCATCCGTATGTCGGTCCATCCATGCATTTTTGCAAACAAAGTACAGGTCGTATTTATTGGCCGATCGAGGTGACATTTTGCACAAATTGTTTGTTTGGACCAAGGATGAATCATATTGAAATTGGAGATAATCGGCCAAAATTTACATATAGCTCCCATATATATCTTCTTCCGATTTGCTTTTTATTGTGCACCAAACGTGTAATATTAGGCCAAATTGAATGAAACATACAACCATATAGAGCGTGGAAACAAGTGTGGCAAATTTGGTAGAAATTGATTCGGATATAGCTATAACTCCCACATATATTCTTCATCCGATTTGTAAATTTCTCCTCCACAACCGTAATGTGCAATCCATAACAACGATACTCTGAGGAATATATCAAATACATCTCAGAAATACTTTTTCCCAATTTTATCGAGATCGGTTTAGATTTGGATATAGCTCCCATATATATCTTTATTAGTTTTAAAATTTATTGTGCGCCAAATGCTTAATATAAATCCGAATTGAATGGATTTTAGCACATACTAATTAGCTTAGCCTGGAAGAAAGTGTATGTAATTTGAAATCGGTTTATATATAGCTATAGGCCCCACATATATGTTTCATCCGATTTTGTATTTAACTCCCTCACACCCGTAAAATACTCTTCACACCGCCGATATTTATTAAAAGCGTTTAGTTGTTATATGTAACTCTACTAGGGTATCATAAAGTCGGATCAGTCTGACTTTGGCCTTTCTTTACCGTTTTTTTTTTTAATTTGCATGTTTTTTTCCAAATGGTGGAGATTATTAAAAGTTCGGACCCGCCAAACATGGCCTCATGGCTAGGTATATTAATTTCAAATTATAAGGCATTCCTTTATGATATGTCAAGAAATATGCCATGCCTGTACCAACATCTTTAGTTGTGGGTCGTGTATCAGATCCTGTCCCCCATTGGAGGAGGCATTGCGAAAGTTATCCAACTTACTGAGAAACTATATACATGCGAACACTGCAATAGTTTAGACGTGAAACCATTATTTTTAAACGGAAAAGTAAAAATATCCCAGCAACAAAGTCACAAAAGCCCAATTAATAGTCGTCATTAATTTTGAGTTTTATGGCGGAGGTTCCGAAGCAGTTGACCAATATTGACCAATTCGTATCTGACCTAAGGCTGATAAAAATATAACATCGTGCCAGATTTGGACTATATTGACTACTTCCTGTATGTGCAAAATGTTAAGGAAATCGAACATTTATATCCAATATTATGCGAAATTTTAAATTTCGATAAATGATATAATCATATCAGATTTCTGGTTAAGTTATGACAAATAAAAGTATTGAAAATTGTGACACTTTGTGGGTGAGGTATTAGAAGGGGCTGACAGATATATATATTAACTTCACAACAGATATTGCGTTAGCAAAAATATTTGTATGTGTGATATTGGAAGAGAATGGGATGCCTATTTCGCTTTCTTTGAGCGTTTCGTTTTTCAAAATCTCGAACCCTATGTGGAACAGATAGCAAAAAAAATGGTCCGATCTTTATCATCTTTATAACAGATTTTGTGTTGTTGGAAATATTGAGATGTACCAAGTCTGGAATGGAATCGGATTTTAATTTAGCGTTTTATGAGCTTCTTGGATATTCAAAATTTTGACCCTTTGTGGGGGAGTTACCAGGAAGAGTGGACCGATATATCCCATCTTTACAGCCGATCTTGTGTTAGTATAAATAATGTGTGAAATGTTAATGGTACCGGATGCTTATTTCAGATTTTATTATCGTTTTCAATCTTTATGGGGGAGGTACAAGAAGGAATGGCCTGATCTCGACTATGTTTATAACAGATCTTGTGTTGATAGAAATATTGAGCTATTCCAAGTCTAAATGGAATCGGATGTTAATTTCGCGTCTTATGAGCTTCATGATATTCAAAATTTGGACCCTTTGTGGGGGAGGTGCCAGAAGGAGTGGACCGATATATTCTGTCTTACTACCAGATCTTGGGTTCATAAAACTAGTAGGATATTGAAGAGAACTGAATGCTTATTGCGGATTTTATGATGGTTTTGGTCATTCAAAATTTTGACCATTTGTGGTGGAGGTACCAGAAGTAGTTGATCTATATACTTCATCTTCACACCAGACATTGGGTTTATAAAAATATTGTGATGTGTGTAATTTGAAGACAATCGGACTCTTACATCACATTTTATAAGAATTATAATTATTTAATATTTTGACCATTGGTGGGGAGGTACTTTATGGAGTAATCCGATATTGTCCATTTTCGCACAAAGTTGGAGCAAAATCGGATTATCCTTTCTCTTTCTGTGCAGTAAATGATTTTCTTTGAAAATGTTGGCATTTTGTGAGCTTTAAGTAAGCTAAAGCCCATAGAGCTCCCAAAATTTTTCAATTTACGCTATCTTTGAAAAAATGGCGCCCAACGTGGCACCGAAATGGCGACTGCAACCAAAGATACATTTTTATTACCCAAGTTTTCATGGTATTGAAAAACGGTCAGGCTTTATTGTTGTTTTTATAAAAACAACGTTTGTTTATTAGTGGAGAACGATGGTAATGTTTACCAGGGGGTAAGGCAGGGAATACCTAGGTTTCGGAAAGCGCCACCAATCCTCATCAGTTCCCTTGTTTTTTGTCTGGGATATTCTCCCCAGAAGTTTTTTTAAAAATAACTTCTATGACAAAAATATTTTTACCCAAGTGACGAGATCGTAAGCTCAATAGAAGAGGAACCAAAGAATTAGATAAAACTAAAATTCTTTTGGAAAGTCTTCTAAATCTTACAACCGCACTATTGAGCTTACGATCTCGTCACTTGGGTAATAAATGTTTTTTGTCATAGAAGTTATTTTTAAAATAACTTCTGGGGAGAATATCCCAGACAAAAAACAAAGGAACTGATGAGGATCGGTGGCTCTTTCCGAAACCTAGGTATTCCCTGCCTTACCCCTGGTAAACATTACCGTAATTCTCCACTAATAAACAAACGTTGTTTTTATAAAAACAACAATAAAGGGATAAAGCCTGACCATTTTGCAACAACAAAATACTACGGCATCCCGAACAAACAAGCCACACTGTGGTATTGAAAAACATTAACAATAAAAATCTTGGTTGGTTGCAAGGATTTCTGTAAGTGGCGCCCAACGTAAAGCTAAAGTCAATCATTTAAATTATAGAATAATCTAAAATTTGGCATTAAGTTTAAGTTTCTCATCGTCCTTAGCATCTACAATATATATCTACAGATTTAACCGAATTTTAATTGAATGCAAATCAAAATTAAATACTGAATTTTTTCTATTCTGTAACAAAAGTACTTGTTTTGAACTTTGTGATATTTCTTTTAGTAAATCTTTTTTTCAAAATTAAATACATGCAATTCTCGTCGAAAATTGAGTCAATTTCTTTCGCCATATTATATAAAAATCACCAAAATTGAATTCTGTTATTCGAAAAATTATATCAGCATTTCGCCTAACAGCAGCACTGTCTTAATATTTGCATAAAATTTGAATAAATAAATTGCTTTGCAATTTTCTATTTATGGTGGTCTTTTCTACGCCATGTATTGGCGGAGGACCATATGTCTACATACATGTATGCCAATACACATACATACATGCAGCAATAATCGAACCATTATTTCGGAATACTTGTTAACTCTGGCTGTGCGAAGGGAAAGGGTTGCGAAAAAGAAATAAAAACTATGCAAATTGTTTGGCCCATTTTAGTTTGGGCTTAGCACTTTGTCGCATTTCATGTCACAAACTATGATTTCCGTATTGAAAAAAAAAAAAAAAACAAAAACAACGACATTTCAAAATTGTCTTTTTCAATGGACGACTCTATGCCGCCATTCAAATAATGTTAAACAATCGATTAAAATGTTAATTAATTTTATTTGATTGCTTTTACAGTTACTTTCTACTTAGAATACCGAGAATTGCTTAAGAAATGCCTGGAAGTCGGAAGGCAGCGACTATTTTTTATTCACCGCCACCACGGGTTCGGGTGTATTCATGGCATGACCCAAACACTGCATTGCTCTTCGTATGTCAATGAAGACACTGGGATCTTCAATGGTGGCTGGCAGCACAACCAATTCATTTTTGGCAAAATCTGCCATGGCTTTACGCATTGTCTTGCCGGATCGGGTGCGGGGCAATGCCTTGACAGGAGCCACCAAACGAAACGAGGCAATGGGACCAACAATTTCTCTGATCTTTTGTATTATCTCTGCGGAAAGTTTGAATGGTGTTTTTCGGCATCCCTCTCGTGGCACATACAGGCACATTGGCACCTGGCCCTTGGTTGGTTCCGGCACACCGAAAACGGCAACATCAACCACATCGCTATGTCGTAGAACAGCATCCTCTAGGGCCAATGTGGAAATACGATGTCCAGCAACATTGATAATATCATCAGCTCGAGCCGTCACAAAGATATAACCATTTTCATCTTTATAGCCGGCATCCATGGTGTCGTAGTAGCCCTGGGAGGGTAAAAAACAAAATACGGGTTATTTTGAAATTCAATTTCTTGTAGGGTCCTATTTTCTATAAAGCATTTAACAATCAAATCTCGTTTGCTTTCCGATTCAAGAATTTCGAATTAAAAAGGTAGTCTTATAAAATTGGCGCCCAACGTGGGGACATTCATCGCAATTGTGACTAGATAGATTTCCTTAATAATCCAAACATATAAAATCCAAAAATTCAATAGTTTCCAACTAAAAATGTATTCTTGCAAAAATGGCGCCCAATGTGGGGACAGTAATCGAAATTGTGTCTAGATAGATTTTTTTTAAATTTACCAAATTTTCTAATGAATTTAAACGGTCGATCGCAGCCTTGAGTTATGATTATTCTAACTGTTGACCCTTTATGGCCAATATTGTCCAATTTGTATCTGACCTAAGTCTGATATAAATATTACAACGTGTCATATTTGGACTATATCGTCTACTTCCTATTTTGACCCTTTGTGCTTTAGATGCCAAAAGGAGTGGACCGATATTCTCCATCTTCACATCAAATCTTGTGTTAGCAGAAATAATGGGATGTGTGAAATATGAAGAGAACCGGATGCTTATTTTGGATTTTATGACCGTTTTTGTTATTCAAAACTTCGACCCTTTGTGGGGGAGGTACCAGAATGAATGGTCCGATCTCTTCCATCTTCATAACAGATCTTGTGTTTATGGAAATATTGAGATGTGTCAAGTCTGAATGGAATCGGATGTTAATTCCGCGTTTTATGAGCTTCATGAATATTCAAAATATAGACCTTTTTTGGGGGAGGTACCAGTAGGAGTGCGCCGATATATCCCATCTTCTCGCCAGACCTTGGTTTAATAAAAATATTGAGATGTGTGTAATTTGAAGACAATCGGACTCTTACATCACATTTTATAAGAGTTGTAATTATTCAGAATTTTGACACTTTGTGGGGGAGGTACTTGATGAAGTGGACCGATATAGTCCATTTTAGCTCCTGATCTAGAACTGATGAAAATATTAGGTTTTGCAAAGTTGAAGCAAATCCTTCTCTTTCTGTGCAGAAAGTTTTTTTCGTCTAAAAACTTTACATTTTGTGGGGGAGGTACCAGAAGGAGTGGACCGATATTGCCCATCTTCGAACTCTATCTAAGTTTGACAATAATATTACGATGTACCAAGTTTGGATCAAATCGGATATTCTCTACGAGAGTTATGGTGCGCACCAGCCAGCCAGACAGACGGACATCGGTACATCGACTCCAAATGTCCTGAAACGGATTTGGTTCAAGGTGACCTAGGGTCTTATACCGTTATTTCAAGGAGGCACATTTTGGCCGTATCATCAAACTACAAATACATAATGCAAAAATGCAATAATTTCAAATCTAGGTTATTCCTGAAAAAAGTGGCGCCCAACGTGAGACAGGCTATGGTTACAGCAAGGTATTTTTTTGGATTAGGGAAAAATGTTTCAAAAACTCACCGGATATTTGGTAAAATAGAGTTTTTTAAACAACTCATCGTTCTCGTAGAGTGTTGACATATTACCCGGTGGCAGGGGTAATTTAATTACAATTCGTCCCAGTTCCAAGGGTTCACATTCTGTGCCATCGGCATGGACTACCTTGACTGAAACAAAATAATAAAAATATTGAAAAAAAAAAAACACATAAATAGCTATAACATCCACAAATGGCGCCCAACATATCGGCCACTTACTGTTGTAACCAATAAACGGCAAACCGGTGGTAAATGCCGGCGTATCAAGTCGTTGATTAAATCCCAAGCATGTGGCAGTTATGGCTGACCCCGTTTCCGTTTGCCACCAATTATTCAAAACCGGCACCTTAAATGTCTTCTCAATCCAGCTTTTCGTTTCCAAATCACAATGTTCGCCGGCAACGAAAATCGAACGCAATGATTTTAGCGAATATTTTCGACCATATTTACAATCGGGATCGACACGGCGCAGAACACGGAATGATGTGGGCACCGAGAAGAGGGAAGTGACTTTGTGTTGATCAATAAGGCTGGAATTATAAAATTAAGAAACAAAATATTATTCTGCTGAAACTTAAGTTATCCAGGAACACAACAAAGTAAACATTTCCCTACACAAATATGGCGCCCAACGTTAGGAAAAAGCTATTCATGAAAAGTTCCATTTCGTGTGCATTCCAGCGAAACCAAATACGTAATTGCGTTTTGTATTTGGTTTTATTTTCAATTACGAAACAGAATAACCTCTAAATTAAATAGGGGATGAGATGGAAAAACTGCAACCAACTTCAGACTGCTATCATTTCCAAGCCACCCGTCCGACAGCTTTTAAAATTATTCCAGTGACAGCTCATTATATTGTTTACAAGCGTACAAAAGTATTTCGGTGAGAATTTTTCAGAAAAAAAGTTATTCGTGATGGTATTCAAGCGTGATAGTGTGATTTCTTTATATTTGGCTGGAGAACCACAAGTGGCTATCGCTGGAGTGCTCTCCAGCATTTAAATGTGAATAAATCTTTTGTGTCTCGTACCATCGCTCGTTACCAGGATACTGGTAGCGTAGCCCCACATCAAGGAAGTGGACGGAAGAAAACAGCAACATCAGCAGCAGAAATGGTTCGAAAAGTAAAGAAGCGACGACTTGTCGAAACCCCCCGCGTCCCAGTGGCCGAAAAATGGCTTGTGAGCTGAACATATCGCAATATTCCATTCGGCAAATATTGAAAAATGAGCTCGGGATAAAACCATTGAAATTCCAAAAAGTGCAAGAACTTACACCGCAACGAAAAAAAATAGACTCAGACTCAAAAGAGCTAAAAAGTTGCTTCGCTTGGCCGAAAGTGGTGAACTGCCGAATTTGATTTTCTCCTGTCCGATGAGAAAATATTATTTGTCCAGCAGTTTGTAAAGAAACAAAATGATCGAGGTCTGAGGAGCTGAAAATGTGCACCTTCGGTTGGCCCCCGGAGCTCAAGAGCCGGCCGGCCATGGTGATGGTGTGGGCCGCCATAACAGCCAATGGTCGCTCTCCGCTCGTATTAATTGACCCTGGCATCAGAATAAATGCCGAATATTATCGCTAAAATATTCTGGAGGGTGTATTAAGGCCTTGGGCACGCAAACATTTTGGCCGCAGGCCTTGGACATTCCAACAGGACTCAGCACGCGCCACCCAAGAATGGTTACAAAATGAGCTTCCTCGCTTCATTTCCAGCACACAATGGCCATCAAAATCTCCGGATACCAATCCGTCGGTCTCTTGTGTCTGTAGTATTTTGGAAAGCAAGGTTGGCACTACAAAAAATACCGAAGTGCCGATCACCTCAAGCAGGCGCCACCAGAACTCAAGCGCCGGACATGGTGATGGTGTGGCCACCATAACAGCTGATGGTCGCTCTTCGCTCGTATTAATCGACCATGGCATCAGAATAAATGCCGAATATTATCGCAAAAATATTCTGGAGGGTGTATTAAGCCTTGGGCACGCTAACATTTTGGCCCCAGACCTTGGACATTCCAACAGGTCTCCGCACCATAGCACTCAGCACGCGCCACCCAAGAATGGTTACAAAATGAGGTACCCTCGCTTCATTTCCAGCGCACAATGGCCATCAAAATCTCCGGATATCAATCCGTTGGACTGCTGAGTCTGGAGAATTTTGAAAAGCAAGGCTGGCACTAAAAAATAAATAAATGCCGAATATTATCGCGAAAATATTCTGGAGGGTGTATTAAAGCCTTGGGCACGCAAACATATTGGCCGCAGACCTTGGACATTCCAACAGGATTCAGCACCATCGCACTCGGCACGCGCCACCCAAGAATGGTTACAAAACGAGGTAGCCTCGTGGCACAATGACCACCAAAATCTCCGGATACCAATCCGTGGAACCTTGGTGTCTGGAGGATATTGGAAAGCAAGGTTGGCACTAAAAAATATCAAAGTGTCGATCACCTCAAGCAAGCGCTTCACCGGGAATGGACCAAAATACTGCAACCAACAACATTCGGGCAGCGTGTGACGTTTTCATTGGCCGTTTGAAGGCCATAATTCGTGCCACAGGTGACGAATTCGAGCAAATCTAAACTTATTCTAAAATTTGATTCTATTTCCGACATTTTTTGCTTTCATTCAAAAAAATTAATAAAAAATGTAAAAATTATGGCCTTTGACTTTGTTGCAGTTGTTTTTTATGGACGCACATCGCTAGATCGAATCAAAATGTCCTGAAACGGATTTGGTTCAAAGAGACCGTATCAAATGATATATAGCCTCCTCTCTAGCCATATGGCTGAGGTATAAAAAGAATAACTATGGTGACCAACGAGAACCATGAAATCATCAAACTACAAATATATAATGGAAATTTTCGAATTTAGGTTATTCCTGGAAAAGTGGCGCCCAACGTGAGAAAGAAATTGTTTTTTTTTTTTTTTGGATTAGGGAAAAAATCTCAAAAACTCACCGGATATTTGGTAAAATAGAGTTTTTTAAACAACTCATTGTTCTCGTAGAGAGTGGACATATTACCCGGTGACTTTGTTGTAGTTGTTTTTATCTCACCCTGTATGCTGTCCTGTAACCAATTGTTTTTTTTTTTTTTTTTTTTTGTAACCTAACGGTTGTATGTGTACATTTATGACGCCCAATTGTGTTCAAGTATACCATGGTATTGTCTGAACAGTAGAATTTTTGAATAAGAGCATCACTTACAAATGTGGCGCCCAACGTAAGGCCAAGTTGCATTTAATTGTAAATATGGATTATATTTGGTTATCTTCTTTAAGTCTGTTAAAGCAGGGTATAGTTGCATAGGATCGTGGCGCCCAACGAGGGGTCCCTGCGGATTCTGGGCATATTACAAGCTTTTGCAAGTTAGTGACTTTGCTGCATATCGGGTTACGCATTTTAAATTGTCAAAATGTCAATTTCAGAATATTAAATTAAGGAGTTTCGACAGAATATGGCGCCCAACGTGAAGGAAAAGACATCTTTAGAAAGTTAAGCTCAGAGATTGTTATTAAAACTGTGATATTAAGAAAACCTTGACGACCAGTATTCGAAGTTATTATATTACAGATTTTTTTAACAATTACATATTATATATATGGCGCCCGACTAGTACTGCAAGTTATTTATTGTCCATTTCGATAATGGTCTTTAAAATATCGAATTTAGGAAATATGGCGCCCAACGTCATATGTATCCAATTCATTTTTTTCCAATGCTACGCTCAAGGGATGCACCAAAACGTTATTTCCTTAATAGCCTTTAAAATATCGAACATAAAAAAAATGGCGCCCAATGTCGTTTGCATTCAATTCTCCTTTTTTTCCATCACTTTTCCACTTACCGATAATATTGTCCTGGATCTGGTGTTCTATCCGGCTTGCCCTCATACATAACACTTGTTGCACCATACAACAACGGTCCATAGCATATGTACGAATGGCCAACAACCCAACCCAAGTCCGAAGCATTCCACCAAACATCATCCGGATTTATACCATAAATAGTTTTCATGGTATACATCAGGGTTACCAAATGGCCACCAATTGGCCGTTGTACACCCTTCGGCTTGTCCGTTGTACCCGACGTGTACAAAATATACAACGGATCGTTGGCCTCAACCGGTACACAATCTATGGCGGTTCGCAACGTCATCACCGATATCCACGGTATATCGGTGGTGGTATTCAAACAGCAACGCGCTATATTGCTACGCTCAAAGACCACATTGCAACTTGGCTTCCATTTGGACATTTCCACGGCCTTGTGCAGTATATCCAAATAGGGTATTATCTTGCCCGGTTCAATGCCACAATTGGCGGCAATAATTATTTTCGGTTTTGCATGTTCGATGCGGGTACACAACTCACTGGCAGCAAATCCGCCAAAGACAACCGAATGCACAGCGCCCAAACGAGCTGTGGCCAACATTGCCACAATAGCTTCCGGAATCAAGGGCATATAAATGACAACCTTATCGCCACGTTCCACACCCAGACTTGACATGCCGCCAGCCAACAGAGAGACCTGTTCAAGAGCAACATAAAAAGAAGCTTCATCTGGTTTTCAGTCTAAAAAAATATTACTCACACACCTGCTCATACAGCTCTCCGTAGGTTACATGTCGCACAGTATTCGTCAGGGGACTGTCATGTATCAATGCCACCTTATCGCCTTTACCCTGCAGCACATGACGATCCACCGCATTGTAACAGGCATTCAAATAGCCTCCCACAAACCATTTGGTAAAGGGAGGATTGGAGTTATCCAGCACACGATTCCATGGCCGCATCCAATCGATTAAATGGCCAACTTTATCCCAAAAATCGCCCGGTTGATTGATGGACTTGCGATAGCACTCTAAATACAACGGGTCGTGTGAGTCGTCCGGCAAGCCTCCTGAAAATTGGCAGAAAATTAAACAAAACCAAAAATTTTAAGGAAATTTACCAAATCTTGTTATTGGAAAAAATATATGTGGTCCCGAAAAATTTGAAAACTGGATATGTCTAACAAAACGTTGAGCCTTTCGAGAATTGGTATTGGAAAATGCATAAAATCTCTGGTTGGACATCATTTCAAAACAATTTAAGCAGATAAGAAATATGGCGCCCGACGTAAGATCCAAGTACAGTTTATGACAAATTAGAATAGACCAAGTGTGATACCTCTAGGGTCTAATTTAAAATGTAATTCTATACTTTCAGACTCTCGAAGCGGACAAGTTCTCGTAGGAATGGCGCCCAAAGTGTGTTTTTAAAGAATTTGGGAAATTTTTGAGACATTTTTGTAAGAGATCATTTCTTATGTTATGAGAGGTTTTTTAAATTCTATGGACTTTGTTTTGGAAGAAGATTAAAACGTGGGGGGTCCAACATATGGCCAAAGTTGAATTTCGTGGAGAATTTGGGAATAGAAGTCTGTAGAAACCAAATATAAGTAAGTGAACTATTACATCTGAGCTCTCCACATCTAAAATAAATAAAATATTTCAAAAATAGCCAAAGACACTCAGAGCCTATTTAATGGACTTCTATTTAGAGACATCTGCAACAGGATAATTTAGAAAAATAATGCCATAAAATGTGTTTTTTTTACTGAAAAGGTTGAGCCCTTTGAAAAAGAAATTAAAGATGTAAAATCTAACCAAATGGGGTACCTAGTAAGCCTAGGTGATTTAGTTCAAAATTTCAGTCTATTAAATTTGAAGTTTGGTAGAAAAGAATCCAGGGAAACATTTCAGATATATTCCGTAAGACACTTTTATCAAATGACTTCTTAAAAATATGGCGCCCGACGTTAGTCCTTTGTCGGTACATAATAAACGAATATAGAAAGCAATCCCCCAGAAATCTAATTAAAAAAAATTAATCGTAATTTTTAAATGGCATAATTTTTCGCAAATATAGCGCCCAAAGCGTGGTTATAGGATTTTGGATCGGTTGGAGATCGTTTTTAAAATAGGATGATATTTAGGTAAAAAAATACCTTGGGGACAATTATTATACATAGCTCCTTAAGACATCTACATCAAATTTTTTTAATTATATGGCGCCCGAAGTAGTTCCTAGCTCAGATCATAGGTTGTAAAATGCAATCCCATAGAAATCTAATTTTTTTTTTTTTTTAAATAAAAATTATATTTTCAGAATATTAAATTGAATCATTTTTGGCAAATATGGCGCCCAACGTGTGGTTATAGGATTTTGGAAACAATTCTGAGGTAATCGGAATCGTTGGAGATCTTTTTAAAATGGGGTAACGCCTAGAACACGATGAAATTGAACAAACTGTAACAAATATGGCGCCCAACGTTTTATTAATATACAGGTCTTGGCAAATTGTTTGCGTATTAAAAGAGAAATGTAGTCGATGGTGCTAAAAGTCTATTGCATGGACTTATATTGAAATTAAGAAGAATAATGTCAAAAGAAGCTCTTATTTCAGAATATTAAATTGAAGTTTTTCTAGTAGAAAATGGCGCCCAATGCGGTAAGAAGTACCTTGGGACAATTTTGAGACATAATTCTTTGAGAGATATATATCAAATTAAACTGGGATTTTTTTAAATATATGGTGACCAAAGTTGTTCCTATTGTAAAATGCAATCCTTATGCAGCTTACCACGCCTGGTTTCCAGCAAGCCTTGGGGACTTACTTACTTAAAAATGTAAGACTATTAAAGTGGAAGTTTTGTAGTAGAAATTGACGATAGAAAGAACATTGGGACCAATTTAAGACAAACATCTTCATGAAATCGTTCCTTAAAAACATGGCGCCCAATGTACATAGGAAATCTTTTTTAATAGGATTATTTTTTACAATTTCTGAGATATTCCGTTGCAGATATTTTTTTTAAATGGGGTAACTCCTAAAACACGATGAAATTGAACAAACTGTAATAAATATGGCGCCCAACGTATTAATAGAGAAAATGGAATCGCTCTATCGACTATATTTAAATCAAATGTGCTCAAATGTAGTCAATGGAGAGCAAAAGCCAATTGTATGGTCTTATATTGAAATTGGGAAGAATAATGCCAAAAGGAGCTCTTATTTTCACTTGAAAATTCCAGGATATCAAATTGGTAATTTTCTAGTCGAAAATGGCGCCCAATGCGGTAAAAAAATACTTTGAGGACAATTATTACACATAACTCGTTAAAATATCTATATCAAACAAAATTGGAAATTTTTGTAAATGTAGCAACAGACGTAGGCCCTTGCTCAGCTTATAAATTGTAAAATGTAATCCCTTAGAAAATTAATTTAAATATGAAAATTTTATTTTCAAAATAATAAATTGAAGCATCATCATTGAATCAAATATTGCGCCCGACGTATGGATATAGGAGATTTGAAGTATTTTCTGTTGGAGATCTTTTTTTAATGTTGTAACATAGTTTATGCAATGCTACACATGGCGGCCAATCTACAATTCATGGGGAATTTTAAATAGACTTAAAGAGAATTGTTATTTATGATTAACAACACACGACATTTCCTTTCCATAAAAATATCAATATAATAAAAATACTAAACAGAATGATAAAAACGAACGACAAGGGCCTCATATGTGTCTGCAAATATACCCATATCTCTAATAGGTGATGTTTTGATGTTTTTATTTGTGACTTTCGCGGTTTACTTGTCGGGTAGCTTCATATTTTGATCTTGCGATATTTGGATTTTTTTCATTTTTGCATTTCATTCGATAATGGCTTAATGGGGGATATCGAAAGAATATCACGAATATTGTGATGTATGTAATTTGAAGACAATCGGAAGACAATGGAATCAAAATCTGATTTCATTCAGACTTGGCACATCTCAATATTTCCATCAACATAAGATCTGTTTAAAAAATGGCAGAGATTGGACCATTTTTTCTGATGCATACCCCACATGGAGTTCAAGATCTTGAAAAACCAAACGGTCAAAGAAAGCGAAATAAGAATCCGACTCTCTTTGAATTTCACACACACAAACATTTTTGCTAATACAAGAACTGTTGTGAAGATAATAGATATTTGCGAACCCCTTCTGGTACATCACCCACAAAGGGTCACAATTTTCAATTCTTTTATATGTCATAACTTACGAAACAATTCAGCGACTCTTTACAACTTGCCATATCTAAATATTTCTCTCAATCAGAAACCTAAGATGAATATGAAATTTATGATTTCGCATAAAATCTGTCTGTATATATAAAAATCAATTTTTGTTTGTTGGTAACGGAATCAGTTGGAAACGGCTGGGCCGATTTGCATAATTTTTTGTACAAACGTTCGTCGTACCCCGAGTTAGGTTTTTAAAGAAAAAAATATTGACCACGCCTCCTTTTACGCCCACTATTACGATTTATGTAAAATCTTTATATTTGCCAAAATAGTGAAGATATCGGTTTGAGAATTATTACACGAGATGCTGTTGGCTTTCCATCCAACCCTAAGTACTTATTTAGGGGCTGAGGAACGCGCCTTCTTTTAAATCTATCTTTCTATATGTAAAAGAAAGTTGTGTTAGTTACTACTCTTATAACAAGTAAAGACCGCCGGACCGCAGAAAAGAATAAAATCCAGAAAAATCGCATTAAAATGTGAAATTTGAACATTTTCATTTTGACTTTTAAAATTTACAATAGTAATGTTTTATATTGCATATTCCATTTTGACTTACTATTTTCATATGTACATTTGTAGTGTTCTTTTTTATACCCTCCACCATACTATGGAGGGTATATTAATTTTGTCATTCCGTTTGTAACTCCTCGAAATATTCATGTCAGACCCAACAAAGTATATATATTCTTGATCAGCGTAAAATTCTAAGACGATTTAGCCATGTCCGTCTGTCTGTCTGTCCGTCTGTCTGTCTGTCTGTCTGTTGTAATCACGCTATCTTTCGAACAAATTGAGATAGAAGGCTAAAATTTTGCACACATGTATATTTTTCCAGTAGGCAGGTTAAGTTCGTAAATGGGTCATGTAGGTCCAAGTTTTCGTATAGCCCCCATATAACTGTACCTCTCGATATTCGGTATTTTGATGATTTTAGCGACATTATTCACCGGAATTGTTCCAAATTTGGTATTTGAAGTTCGTAATAGATACTGCAGCAGAAAACAGAAAATGGGCCATGTAGGTCCACGTCTTCGTATAGGCCCCATATACCGTACCCCCCGATATTCGGTATTTTGATGATTTTAGCGACATTATTTACCGGGATTGTTTTAAATTTCGCATTTGAAGTTCGTAATGGATACTTCAGACCATGCCAGAACATTGTCTGTGCAGGTCCACGTCTTGGTATAGCCCCCATATAACGGTACCCCCTATATTCGGTATTTTGTTGATTTTAGCTACATTATAAACAAATTTTTCTTCATGTTTCGCATTTAAATGTTGAATAACTTATGACAAAAGTTGCCTATGCATGTATACGTCGTCGTATAGACATTCGATATTTTTAAGATTTTAACAGAATTTTTAAAGGATTTTTTTTTTATTTATTTATTTATATATTTTATTTTTTTGGAAATTGCCAAATTTGTACCAAATGGTGGAGGGTATTAAAAAAAATTATTACTTGTTTCTATATTGAAGTGTACATTTTTTAAGTGTTTGTTTTCTCTTTCGAGACGAGCTTAATGATCTGAAATTTGCAGTGAAAAGGAAAGCCAGATAGACACTATCACACACTCACCACTATGCGACGCGTTTCGCCGTTGGTTAAGCGGCTCATCAGGCATATTTGATGTGGATGATGGCTTACAAGGGCCGTTCTCTGGAAAGTAGTATATATTTCGAACTTATTGCAAATTAGCATATGCGAATTATACACTAGAAACTCTCCAGGTTCGACTCAAGTTCTATTGGCAGATCTTTTTCACAGCA